GTCTGAAGCAGCTTATCATCTTTTTATTATTAAACCAGGGAGATAAACAAAACATATTTCTCTATTTTAATGGGCTCCCTGTTTGTCAAACTGACTCCTATTTCCGAGCGGTTTGACCTTACTGCTCTCATGACTTGAAGGCCTCACATGTTTCAAGACCAGATCCGCTCAAACCATCTTTGGTAAATAATTCAAAAAGGTATTTTGCTTTATGAATTTTGACCAAATTGCTGTCTGGCAACTGCAAAGCCCTGCGAATTCAAGCCCAACTAAAGCCTTTTCTGTCTGAATCACGGGGCTTAAGGGACGAGAGTGGAGTGATATCAGCTCTTTTGTTTCCTGCTCCTTGTTTGCAGCGGATTTTACTTTGGATAATGAATAAGTATGAGAGATTATCTCTGCTTTAGTTCTTCACTTTGTTTTGATTTTCTTGTAAGCCGATCATATTATAATGTTGTTTAAACCTCTCTATGATAGTGGTCACATACAAGAAAGTTCCTTCTTTTATATATGAGATACTTTATGGTTTTTACAGGAAAGCAAATATGTTGGCTAATCAGAGTAATGTCCATTGATGCAATAAGAAGTTAATCATTATTATTTGCTGATATAGGAGCATAGATGTGATTGATGTTAAATAATCTTCATAATAATGTGGGATTAACTCCTGTCCTATTTCATAAGGGATAAAGTTAGGAAAAATGATATCACACAACCTTAAAGAAGTTTAAATGCCACGTAAATGCTTCATCTGATAGCTATGGGGAGATGTCAGCAGTGAGTGTTTGCATCTTTTATGAAAAGCCTCTGCTGTCCCATAACTTTGATATTGATTTGAATCCTAAAGTTGTTTGGAGCACAGCAGCATGCAGAGTGCTTTATTTACTCACAAATTAGTTTTGAGCTGAAGATGCTGTGAATGACCAATACTGGCTCCACTTGACCTTTAGAGTTGATTCCAGCAGTACTGATCAGAATCATAAAGAGTCTGCGGTGAGTGTGTGTGGTGTGTGTGTTTGTGTGTTTGAGGCTGCAGATACTGGTGAAAGGTGAAGGGTACTTAACTCAATGTTATTAATAATTCCTCACTGTTTACATAAATTTACATTCAGAAATGTCAATATGTGCTAAAAGACAGAAAATTCAAATGTCATTTCATTGAAGTATGCTGCAATAATTACAGTTTGAGTTGGCTTTGGCGCCCCCTGTGGACACTTCCCTATCAAATCCTGTCCCGTACATAAAAAGTAATGTTGTCTGAGATGGTTAGAGCATTTGACGAGTATGTCTTCATATGGAGGTGTATGAGGATCATCAATTGTGAGGAGATAACTAAGGTGGATTTTATGACCAATACTGCAGCCAGTCAGTAGGGGGAGCCTTAAATCTTTCAGCTTCATATTCAGCTAACATTTATGCTGCCTGTTTGAATATACAGTCTACAGTTTAAAACACTTTAAAGCATTATTTGTTTATAGTCTTCTTTATGGCCTTGCCTGTCTTCCTTTAAAAATCATCATGTCATGTCATGTGTTATATCTGTAAGTGAAATTATAATGTGAATTACTCACTGTGAGAACTTGCTGTGGAGAGACACAAAAAAAGGTGTTTCTGCAGTGTGCAAATCAAGTTATCTGACAACTTCTCTGCACAGCCATTAAAATTTACTGTGTAAGAGTTGTTAATCTTGGAGTTGATGGTCTTGTTTGCTTTTGTAGGTCATAAAGAGGCATCATAATTAAATTCAGTCTGTTTTATAACCAGTCAAAAACTCCTTACAGGGGCTTTAAAGACTGAAAAAGAAAAGAAACAAGAAAAAATGTACTTTTTAAAAATGTGTTATGAATATGCATGAAGTTAATTTCTGTAAAATCTAGCAGCAGAGTTATGCAAAATGTTTTTTTCATAAGTGTTATTAAAAATGTGGAGCAGCATTTCTTTCATTTGCCATATGGTACATGGTGTCGGGGCATTTAAGTTTGTCAGATGGAGCTCAAAGTTATTGTAGGTACATGGAGTTTGTTTAGGAGACCTCTGTAGAGAAGTTTGGTACATAAGTTTGAGAGACCAGCTCTGTACGTGTGTTTAAATATTTATGAAGCAATTAATCATCTTATTGGACATAATATTTTTTTCTGATTATTGCCATTGCTTATTCTGAATGCCAAGCCAACCTGAGAGGAGCCAATATTGATTAGAAATTCACTTTTTCATAGCCTCACCATGACTGTTTTAAATTATAGATAGTAATTAATATCGCTCAGAAACAAACAAACTCACTAATGACTCTACTGACTGATTTAATGTGTGATGTGGTCCATGTTGGCTTATTTCATCTGGATTTCATGTGTTGAGCTCTCACTGGTCTACAATCATCATGATAATGGTGGGGCTGTTAAAGGGGCACCTGTTGGTAGTGATTACAGTGGCTTTAAATGTGTTATTTGCACCTGGGAAGCCTGTGGTTTAGGCTTAATGGAAAACAGCAACATGTCACAGCAGACACGCTGAAAGAATAAAAAATTACATATCCTGATAAAATGGCATCAGAGGATCAAGACAGAAAAATGAACATTCGCAATAAATGTGCTTAAATGGTTGTAAATGCAAGAGACTTTCACCAGAGCGCTGGTCAGTGGGCAGTCTAGTTCAGCCTGTCAATTCTCTCCCAATCCATAACTTTTCAACAACATGCGCTCTATTATTCATGCATTCTTACAGCCCTCTAGTGGCCAAAGTGTATCATTGCATTTCATTGCGTTAAACCCATGTGGAATGGGTTCAAAGACTGACAAGGTTTTAGATTAATAATTGAAGAGCAGATCTCCCTCTGTGTCTTGTCCTCAAAAAGTAGACTTGTTTTCGCTCACTCTAGAAAGGCAGTGAAGACAAATGTCTCTGAGACTTTACTGGTTTCTTTGCAATATGAATTTTTCATTAGGAGTACTTGTTTGACTTTTTGTCACTCAGAAAGGGATATCACACTGGTGCATTTCATGTACTTACTTGTCAGTTCTGGTGTTGTTTTATTCATTTTCATGTGTTTATTTTCATTTTTTATTTTACTCTGCCATTGTTTCAGATTGTAAATCAAAGTATTTATTACCACAAAAATCATTACACACACTCTACTGCTCCATGATCCTGCCATACCTCTCTTACTGTGTTGAAATCTGGGGAAACACATACAAGACCAATCTACAAAAGATATGCACATTACAAAAAAACAGTTATACGGATCATAAATCAAGCTGGATACAGAGACCAGCCCTCTGTTTCTAAAATCAAAATAGTTAAAATTTAATGACAGTCATTTTTAAAATGGCTCAAGTGCTGTACAAAGCAACACAAAGATACGTTACCTGGTAACCAACAAAAGATGTTCAAAACCAGAGAGGGGGCTAGAAATGAACCACATTAACACTCATGGACTGAACAAACACTCACACTCACAACCACTCAACCACCACCTACAATTATCTACAATTACCAGCACTTTATATCTGTAAACCAACTTAAAACCTTTCAAACCTCAATACATCCAATATTGCACTACTGCATAATTTATCTGTTATATAATTATATTTATAGTCTTTTTATAGCCGTCATATTTATAAGTATAATCTGTTCATAGCCTGTACATACACTTCTATAGCCTGTACATGCTTATATTCCATGATATACTCATGTATATATCTCCATACACTGTACATTTGTAAATATATTTATACTTGCTAAGCACTTCCGGATGGATGCAAACTGCATTTTGTTGCTCTGTACTTATGATATGTGCAATGACAATGAAGTTGAATTCTGTTCTATTGTATTCTATAATCTAAGGGGAGAACACAAATGTATTTGTCCGATTGTCCATACAACTCTGAAAAGTATGTGCATTTCTGTTTGTGGTGTTAAACTCTGGAACAGCCTGGATGTAACTTTAAAATTGTCCAATGGCATAAAAATATTTAAATCAAGCCACAGAGAAGTATTAAAAGATTCACATAAGTAAACTAACAAAAATATGGTTTTGTACTAGGTATACTTGATTGCATAGAAGTAATATTAATTCTGAATATTATAACACTGATTCGTATTATAATATTCTAATTAATTATAATAAGTAACCTATGTAGTGTTGAGCCGATATCTTGTGTATAATATGTAGGTATTCATACAGATCTTTGTAATTTATACAAATAGATGTTTTTTTACATCTCTAATTTGCATGGATGGGGCAGGACTAGATAAGCGCTTTACTTCATTCTGTTCCCTCTCAAACTGTTTATTTTGACATACATATGTTGTGTACATTTATCTTTGACACATACAGTTGTTTGGTGTACATATGTATTATTTTGTTCTGAGTTTTTGTTTCTATTTTTTTTTTGTCGTTGTTGTTCTTAAAGTTTGAGATAAATGAAGCAGAACGAAAGAAAGAAAGAAAGAAAGAAAGAAAGCAAGAAAGTAGTAATAGTTTCAGCTGCTTTTACTTGTTCCTTTTTTAATGTTTAATTCAGATGTTATGCAAGTTGTTTCCCATATTATTCAGCATGTCTTGCTGCTGTATTATGTGACCCTTTTTTCCAGTTAACTTTACCTGAGTTGCAGACAGATCAGTCATTAACACAGATACACTATCGTTTCTGTGGAGCCGATTTATCAGTTTATGAATGAGTAGTTGATTAGTAGGTGGCCGTTATTTAACACTGGCCTGGTTGCTCATTGTAATTGCTCGGTCAATTGATAAACATTGTCCTCTGGTCGCCCCCTGCAAGCCCCACCCCCTCTGTCAAGCGGAAATCACGAAGCCATACAGGTTTGATTTCAAAATAAAAGTACGGAAACAACAAAATATGAGAACGGTTCATAATGTAAAAACAATTGTCTGCACCAAAAGAAGCTTTACATTGGTTTGTATATCACCGGAGCTCGGGTGTGAGGTTGGTTAGGGTGTTTTAGTGATAAATTAACCGTGGACACTCGGTTGGCTCCACTCTCATTGGAGGGCCTCTGGGGTGGATTGGGCCTGTGACACCCTAAGAAAACTCTTCTCAACACTGTCTACTAGTAAATAAACGACAGGGAAATGGAATAATAGAAGACACGGTGTCACACCTTCACACAGAGACCGTGACGACTCACCTGGTTGGGTATTTCCAGAAATGTCCAGGCCTGCTCGTAGAGGCTTGTTGGGTTGGAAGGGTGGAGGCTTCACTTCTGCTTCATTTTTCACCGGTCTCTGCACTTAAAGAGACTTCTCAGTACCTGATATCAACGATGTAATGAATTCATATTGTATTTTTAAACGATTTCCCGGAAGTTTCATGTTCAATTGTGTTACTCTTGACTTAAATGTGCTCGGGTCGACATGAACGGGAGCAAAACACTTGACAAATCCCACGAGACCACGTGACCGTGCCGGAGGTTCCTTCCCAGGAGAGCAGCGTGAAGATCCGACAAGGTGAGAAAGTAAATATATTTGTTTAGATTAATTGAAGAAGTTAGATCAATTTAAAATCAAAAGGCTGCTTCAAATACATGTTGGTAATAACAGAGTTTGACCCACACTGTCTAAAGTGTTGATATATACGTGTCTTGACTTGCTTGTTAGAGTCTGATAAACACTTAACAACATGTGAATGTGCAGGTTGCACCATCTGGATCCTCCATATGAAAGATGCATTGTTAAATAGTGGACCAAAACTTTGAAGTAAAGGACATATTTCTAATTATAGATGATTTTAAAAAGTGCAGCTCCAGTATGGTATCCTGCAGACATTTAATATTTTTCTCATGCATGCAGAAAGATAGACATATAATTGAAAAGAAGGTTCTTTTAATATCCATGTTATTGTGTTTGATCTGAAAACTGGTGTTGAAACTGTAACCCGGCTACTGAGACAAAGGCAAAAAAGGCAGACATTTTTAATTCACTGAACTAGATATTTTAAAAGTTTAACATTTGGTATTTTTTCAGTTTTATGCGCATAAAATTCAACTTTATGTTTATGGCACTTTTCAGACAAAAAATGCAGTTCAAAGTGCCTCACAGAGGCCAAAAACAACAATTAACAACAATAAAAACGTCCCACCCACACACCCGTCCATGGACCCACACACACACACATACCCTCACTCATCCACACATACAAACACAAGCACATGCAGTGTGACATTGGCTGACACGGAGACATTACTTGAGGAAAGAGCTACCTTTGGGAAACACTGGAGATCAAGATAAAAAAATAAAAGATTTAAAAAACAAAACAAAATAAAATGGTAAAAAGAAAGGCTAAAACATGATGGATTAAAACAAGAAAATAATATTAAATGAACAGATAAGAGCTTTTTACCATGTAAAAGGGGTAAAAGAAGTAAAAACTTCCTTTTACTTTACTTAAATCTTTCTACTGAATACAGCTCTTAATCTCACAAATACAACATTTGAATTTAGCATTCAAATTATTATGTTCAGGGCTTTGCAGAACTTAAAAAGCAAACACAAGGCCATGTTAAAACAGGTGATGTATATTTTATAGGTGTGTAGAGTTAGTGTAAATCCTGTGTTACTCCTAACCACTTTTATCTTTCTCTGCACAGGCTGAATCATGTCAGCAGTCGTAGTGGTACATGGTGGGGCGTGGGCCATACCTAATGAACTGGCCAAGGCCTCTGTTGCTGGAGTGAAGGCTGCAGCGTGTGAGGGATATTCAGTCCTGAAAAGAGGAGGGAGCGCTCTGGATGCTGTTGAGGCTGCTGTGAGGGCCCTGGAGGATAACACTGTGTTTAATGCAGGTACTAGACTATACTCAATTTTTTTCTCACTATCCTCAATTGCAGCTTCAGATTTTGCTTTTTATCTTGTCATACATTTTGCTATCATAAAAAAACTCGTAATTACAATCTACATTCACTGTATAGTATGACTGCTCTACTCTCAGCCAATTTAGTCAATTTTTTATGGCACAGTGTCTCCACCTGCTGGTGCTGATGCATAAATTCATCTGGACACACTTAAGGTGGAGGGATGAGACAAGGCAGCTAACTCCCTTTCTCTCAAGAAAACAAAAATTTTTTAGAAACCAAAGATACATATCACACAAGCAATAAGTAGTTTACTTAGTTTAGTAGTGGTTCTGGTCAGCAGAACCACAAAATACCCATCATAATGGAAAAACTCCTTTACCTTCTTTTCAATTGCAGACATCATATTGTTTGTATCTGATTTTTAAGACCCTGTAAGTATAAAACACCCCATAACCAATTAAATAAGTGCCGTTTTCCAGACTACAATAGGGTTAACTAGATCCTGAATGAACCGTTAACCATGATATTTTTACGACCCTATGATTGTGTTATTTTAATCTTGATGAAAGCAGTTTACATCTGTGCAGGTTACAACGTGGAACGTAAATTAATGGAGCATCCACCACGACAAATAATAAACAGCATCACACATACGGGTTGTAAAGCAGCATAATGCAGAGTTGCTGTTAAAGTGTCCAAACACCCACTCTCACTTCACACTCAGAGGTTTTGAATGGCACACTATTTAGTGGGCCCTCAGCGGAGCATGCGAAGTGAGTCAAAGTAGTTTGACAGCAAGGGCTAGTGTCACATTTATGACGGTCAGAGGAAGTTAAATTGCAGCCTGATTTTGGGGCTCAGCCCTTTAATCCCAGACTAATCCCAAATTTAATTTACGTCAAAATCAAAACTGCAGTTTAGATGGTTTTTACAAACTGTCCTGCCTGATATTGAATCAAGTCAGCTGGTTGCTACCACAGTTTCAGTTCATTTTGTTATTATAATAAACTCCTCTTGTTAAATGTTCAAAGTGGCACCTGTGTTTTAAATTTGCTTGCAGTTGCCAGAAACTTTGTGGGTCATTCTTTCAGTCTTGGCGATACAAAAAACATTAAAGCTTCTCATGTACAAAGGGATAATCACTGTCATCAAAGTTGGAAAGAAAAACGAAATAAACTGCTGAACTCCCTCATTTAAAAAGCAGTAACCTTAAAAGTGAGCTCTGGCCCTTTGAATACTGTTGTCCTTCCTGAGAGGCTCGTTCCTCGAAGCACCGGGTTATTATCAGATGATGGTGCGTGAACTGTCATCCAGATCAGCTCAAGTCAGCAGCTGCAGGGGAAGCTGTGACCCCTCACTGACACTACAGTGTTTGTCTCAGATTCTGTTTTAAACCTGCTTTTAAAAATCAGTTTGACAACAACATACAGTAATGATCTAAACTGGATCCATTTGACACTCCTTGCTGTGATTTACAGTTGATTTTTACTCAGTCACACAGCAATCCATGTTTTCGAAAGACTACATTCATCACAATGCTGGATCTGAAATGCACCTCAGGCAGTTCTCGTGTAATCCTGAAACTCTGGCACCGGATATTAACATAAACAACTCAGAAAAACATGCCAAAGAAAACAGGTGTCTGATCACCCAGTCCCATCAGGAGAGTCTGTGCTCTTTTCATGACTCAGATAACTGGAAGGTGATCATTAGATTCAGCTTTCTTTGATATATGATCCAATTTTTAAGACAGAGGAGGCTTCGGTGTGGCAAAAAAAATGTCTAAGCACATCAAAATAACTATCAAAAAACTATCAGAAATATATTTGAAAACTATCAAGTTCCTGTTTGCAATTTTTTCCGACCAAGTTGCAGGACTTATGATGTCTTATTGTAGGGCATGGAGCAACGCTAAACGCTGATGGGGAGGTGGAGCTGGATGCTATTATCATGGATGGAAAGACACTTGCCAACGGAGCTGTCTCTTCAGTGAAGAATATCACCAACCCCGTGTCACTGGCACGAGCTGTGATGGAAAAGGTGAGGCCTGGGATCAGTTATCATGCCTTGTGACAAATGAGTTGCTGACACTTACAGAGACATTCACTGGGATCTACTTTGTACATGTACCCACAGTGTATGCACTGAAAAGTGATAAATACGTGAGTAAGATGTGATATATGTTTTGTCTTTCCATTTGTATTGTCTTCTATTGAAATCACAGACGTCTCACTGCATGTTGACGAGCACAGGAGCCAACCAGTTTGCAGAGAGCATCGGCATGGTAACGGTTCCCTCTGAGGCGATGGTGACCGCCTATGAGAGGACAGAATGGGAGAAACACAAGAACTATGTAACAGGAGTAATGGAAGATTTCAACTCTCAGTGGTGAGTGTCTACAAAGTGTGGCTTTCCTTACTCAGCGTTATTCAGCTCCACTGGCCCACAGTCACACACTGCTTTGTCAGGACGATGTGCAAGATCTATATTGAAAATGTCTTCACAGAATGCACTGAAGAATGGAAACTTTTAGATACTTGCAACTGAGAGATTAATAAAGAGTAAAAAACTATTGAAAATCTTTAATGGACCGCTGGATTTGATGATACTGACAGACAAATGGAAGAAAGTCAGTCTCAGTGCTCCATCGCACAGAATGTCTTCTCAATTATGTACATTAAGGCTAAGTGGGGACTTTATACTGAAGTTTCAACAAAAGAATGGCTTGATATATGAGTGACACACACACAGAGACTGAAAAAAACTGAAGTGCATGAAGGGAGTTTGCGAGAAAAAAAGGTCAACTTTCTTCTTTCTCACAGCTAAAAAAGAGGAAACACTCTGGTTCACACCAATCATGCAGAGGGTTATGTATTAAAAGAGACAGAAATCATACATTTTACTGTAAGGAGTGTTAGCAATGAGACACATTCTCAGTTAAAACAAATATGTTATAGTCATATTTTTTGTAATATGCCACACTCATAGTAAAGAAATTCAGGATGCCTGATCTGTACACTTCCATTTTTAAAAATCAGCTCCTGAAACCACTACTGTCCCTCCCTCTATTCTGTCTTTACTTTGATCTGATCTTAGTTTGTTTCTTAATGATTTGGAGTAAAAATGCATAAAACCCTCTCTTTAAGCACAGGCAATTAACATTAATCAATAAGTTGGATAGCCTGCATTGTCTACATGTTGACCAAATCACTAACATATCCCTATTTATAAGGCCAGTCTCTGTTTTAATCTTATTAAAAACTCTAGAAGCTCTGTGATTCAGTCACATTACTTAGTTTTGCTCTCTGTGCCTGAGCAAAAGAGCTTGAAGCTTGGGGAGAAGGTCTCTTTACGTGTGTTTAAAAGTAGATTTAAGACGTGACAAGGCTGTAGAAGCTTTGAATGACTTTCTGCTGTGTGATAAAGGAAGTGTCGACATGTGTTTGTAATTATTATGTGTTTTGTCTGTCTGTAGCTTTGTTGGAACGTACTGCAGCAAATCTGGGCCAGGACACTTTTACCGCTCTTTTTAATCCCAGTGAGGCTTTCCTGGTTGAATAAAATCCCATTGTTATATAAATAGAATAAACATTTGAGTTTATAAAACTTAAATATGTTTCAAAGAGAAGAAGAAACTTAAAGAAACAATACAAAGTAGATGAAGTATTTTCTTTTTAGGTTGACTAAAAGAGAAATATTGCAGTTACATCCATTAATTTTAATACCTTATTACCATGGTTTCTCTTTCTCTTTGGTTTCTTTTACATATATAAAATATAATGAATGTTGTCCTGCATATGATTAAAGTCTTTGTACTCTCTGCACATTGTTGCCTGTCGCTGTTTTTTCAGATGTTTTAACTCACGGTGGCTGTCTGTGTATTCACTAACCAGGGCTCATGATACTGTCGGTGCGGTTGCTGTGGACTGTGCTGGTAATGTTGCATGTGCAACATCGACAGGAGGGATCAGAAACAAAATGGTTGGCAGAGTAGGAGACTCTTCCATCATTGGTATGATTCTCACCTAGTCAGCCACAGTCACAGACACTGAATAGAAAATCCTGAGTAATCCTCATCCTCCTACATTTGATCACATTTAGGGCCACAGGTGTGTGAAGTTGAGCAGCTTTTAAAATGTTGACCTTCTTTTTTTTTTTTTTGCACAAGGCTCTGGAGGATATGCCGACAACATGAGTGGTGCAGTCTCCTGTACAGGTCATGGAGAGTCTATTCTTAAAGTCACACTGGCCAGACTCATTCTTTCACATGTTGAACAAGGTAACAACGTCACTTCAACTCCAGATTTAGTCAAGTTCTGCAACGCAAACTTGATCTGGTTTTTATAGAATGAGATCTCACTTTTTGTGATTTTTGGGACACTGTTAAAAAAAACAGAGGAGTGAAATAAACAAATGAATGTAAAAGTCATTTAAATATTGTTAATGTCTCAGTTATAAATAGTCACAGAAAGTACAAACTTGCATCATTTTCTAGAAATGCAGAATTAGTTAAATGTTTCTTATCTTTCAGGCTGAACAAGATTAAATACAAGCACAGCTTTAATTATGCTGACAAGAAAATGTTTTTTGCTGCTTTAATTGAAGATCAAGATTTTTTATATTAACAAGTATATTATTAACAAGTAAATATTATGCCTTTTGATATGTTTTAACTGTTTCTTAATGAGGTATTGACTTATAAAAAAGGCAACAGCCTGCATATATTTGTTTATCAGTGTTTTATTGTAGGATAAAAAAATCTGCATAAATTGCTTAAATTTGTTTTGTTAATTGTTCTATTTACTTCCACACTATTCATCCCTCTCTCAGGTAAATCAGTGTCAGATTCTTCACAGCTGTCTCTGAAGTACATGGGAGACCGTGTCCAGGGAGCAGGAGGCGCTATTGTAGTGTCTCCATCAGGACAGTGGGCAGCCACCTTCACCACAGAGCGGATGGCCTGGGCAGCAGTGGACCATGATGGTCTGTGGTTTGGATTAGACCCAAATGAAAGACATAATGAGCAGTTACCTCAATAAGAATTGTTAGTAATAATATAGGGCGTTTTAAACATTTGCGACTTGGTTACTAATGTACTTTGAATTTCATCATTTGTTTGTCTTAGGACAAATATCTTAGGGTATGTTTGTGTCTAATATTTTTGGCCAAATCAAATGATTGGAGTAAATCTTTTTATCTCAAATGTGAGATGACAGCTCTGTAATGTAAAACAGTACATTCTGTGATATCAGTGCTGATTTCTTCTGCCTTAAACTTTAACTTGAATGTGTTTCTTGGGTTAGGATTTGATCTCTCCTTTCTGATTCTGTTCTCAGAACTCTATTGAATTTCAGTGCTCCCATCCAGTCTGGCCTAAATAAGTAATTACAATGAATGAAAAACAAATGATACTCTGCTTGAGTAAAGATTGGCTGCCATTCAAGCGTATTAGCTCTTTATTCTGAGATTAGTTTCACTCAAAGTTTGTCTAGTTTGTACTGCCTTTTAAGCACCTCTTTGTACAATAGACTTTTAGGAGGTTGTTACCATAACAACAGCCTCATTAAGGCACATCTACTTCATTTTCCGAGCAGCATCGTTTGCATTACATCATCTTTGAAACAATTGCTCATCCTGGGACTGGCTGAGTCAGAGTTAGTTTGATATTACGTGCACGTTCCCTTGCTGTAATTGAGGCAAGGCTGGAAAAAAAACTTATTGTGTTCACTCACACCACTGTAATATGATTGCCTTTTGTGCACTTGTACTTTTCTGAGTAGTTTTTAAAACCTGTACTTTTTCTTTCATTGGAGTATTTTTGCTGCATTTTACATAGCATAAATTACTGAAGAAAAAACATGCAAATTGAATGAAATTCAAGGATTGGCAGTTTGGATGATGTCTACACTGCAAAAAAACTCAAATCTTACAAAGTGAATTAATCTCCTTTTCATCCAGAGTAACTCATAACAGTTAAGTTAATCTACAGTGAAATAAGTCCAAATGTAAATCTTACATTTTATATATCAAAATGTGCTTGTCATATTTGCTGCCAATTTTACTCATTACAATCAATTAAGTGTGCAGGGGTCATCTACAAAGTGTAATACCTGCAAAGATGCAACCTGGACAGGTGCACAGTCAAAATTGCTAACAAAATAATGCTTTTGACAACATTTGAAAAAGTAGTTTGGGAAAATTTACTAAGCTTATTTCAAGTGCAGTATCTACTTCTACTTTAGTAAAATGTCAAGTAACAAAAATTGCTTAGTAAGATTATAGCACACTTTCCTTTCCAGCATTATGACAGAAACACGTAGTAAAGAAGATATTGCTTGTTTTAAGTTTTCATGACATAGCAGAAACTCTTAAAATGTGCATTGAAATCTCATCATAGAATAAAAAAATCAAGTAGTATTTGATAATGTAGCAACTATTTCATACAAGAGTGCTTGTCTTATATTATTACATCTTATTTCAAATGGTGAGAAACACAAATATTCACTTTGTGACTTTTGTAGATGGAAATAAATTACATTTTTGTCACCATAAAACTTTTTGAAATTCTTTGTCAGTGTGGGCAGTTATTTTCGCAGTTAGTAACTTTTTTTCCCCATCGCCACTTTTTTGCATCAGTAATTTCCCTCATGACTTTTTTTTTGCATTCTTTTTTTTTTATTTGCAGCAGTGGCGGTTCTTGGCCACCGTATCCTCCCGTTAACGCAGCATAATAATAGAAAAACACATGTAATACAGTGTAGCATCTTAGGGTTACTCTCAGCTGCTGAAACTACTGTAAACAGAAACCACGTGACGCGCAGCGCTGCCTGTCAGGGGCTTTGCAGCAGTGGGACGAATGACGGCTTAGTTGGAGGAAGTTACTGGTAGCAGCTGTGCTAGTATGTAACCTTACACGAGTAGGATCCAGCGTTGCAGCAAGATAGAGGTAAGAATCTTAAAATCATGATAATAGTTGTACGTAAATATCGGCACAGAAAGCATTGGAGTAAATACATGTGGGCGTGATCATCTAACGCCCGCTTGGAGCACCCAGGCTATAAACAAACTTGGTGTGCTGTTCAGGGCCTACGCTAAAGCGACCTAGCAAAGCCTGTCTGACAGATTTAACATCGAGATGCCTGCATTTATATGTACACGTTTGTGGCCGCATGTTTTAGCACAGACAATCGTTCATAAAGATGCGTTCAAATTAACAGCTCTTTTGTTTAACAGAGAGTATGTACGTGTGATAATTCATCCATAAGTTAACATTAGCATGCTAACGAGCATGAACGCGCTGTGCAACGGATTGTTGTTACGCTGTTCGAAACGACCGCGCGCGGAAAAAATCGCTCAAAGTTGTGTCCGTCTAGTCTTGTTGTTCGCTTAAAGTGGTTTGGTCTTTTCTGTCCGAACAGCTTCAAACAAAAGCCCTTTTCCAAACGGAGTACTACATTTCTTTTGAACTGGGTTATTGCAAAACAGATAAGGAGAAAAACGGTTACAAAGTGGAGCCCGCGTCGCTTGAGCGTCGAGTCTGCCGCTTGTAGTTCACAATGAATGGGGCGCGAACAAGTGATTTACCGCGTGAGTTCGCTTTCTGCGCGCATCAACCGTTAGCGGTCCGATAGCGTTAGCATGCTTACTAGCAACCACCACATTGAGAGAGCGATAACTTGTTAATAATTAAACATTAGCGTCCCTCTTGGACATTTATCCAAGTTGGTCATAGAGTTAGTGTTGTAGCACTTAATTAGGATTACCTAAGGCTAACGGTGGTGAAAAATAAGATGTTTTATAAACGCGACTGACTACGGAAACAGCCAAATCCGAGATGCTAGCAGTTCAGAGAACAAGTTAGCATTCACAGCTGATGGAGGTACAGAGGATCAAAGTTTTACTCTTCTCGGCTTATCTGTGTTTAATAGTTACATTTATAAAATGAATAGTCGTGTCCTATGCGTAAAAAACGCAAAAACTGTCAGCTACAAACAATAGATAAGTCAATACGAGGTTAACTGCCGAGTTGGATAACAGATACAGTATAAGGAGTTTGTGTTGGTGTGTTTGCTGCAAGTCAGTGATTTCGGAGGAATAGTAAAATAAAAAGAGATGTACCGTAGTACTACCACTGTCCGGAACCCACGTTTATTATGGCTAAAACCAATTTTAACAGGAATTAATGAACTATAATGTGGTACAAATATGTACAAGTAAAAACTTGCACAAATATGTGGGAATGTTTAAGACAATGGTGAATATTCATGGACATGCAATATATACCTAAATCAGTCAGCCTTCACATATGTGTAACTTGTTCTGGTAAGAAAATTAATTTACCAGCTTTCTTCTCACCTGGCTGTGTTAATATTTGATTCTGATTTATCAAAACCCCTCAAGAATGGTTATTAGTCTAAATAGCAGAGGCCGCCACACTTTGTGTTGTATGTCCATGCATGTTAAGTGCTCTATAATTAAAGTTTGATTTGATTTTCACACATCTGTTATCAATTCAACCTGTTTCTATTGGCTGTGCAACATAAATGTTTCCTTTCCCACAGTATCAGTAGATATTAGGGAGAGTGTGTTTGATACTAGTCTGAACTTATTAGGAGGACACATAACTTTACACTGGTGGCCAATGGCAGACCAGTCACCAGCAGAGAAAAGAAGTGGGGAAAAAACAGCACTAAGAGGAGTGAGTGATGACAAAAACACAAGGAGATGAGTCAAAAAGATATCAAGACATGAAGCAAGAACAAGCTGCAACTCAGTGGGGTTTATGGGACTGGTTGAGGGAGAGGAAAGCAAACAGAAAAGAGACAGAAAAAAGGCTGCTGCTGCTGCTTTTATCAATGCAGAACAAGGAAAACTTGCCCTTGGTTTGGCGTCTATTGTCCTTGCATAGTTCAAACATCACAGTGACCTTAACCTTATCGTTATTTTACAACCTCTATGAACATCTTCGATAGTATTTTTCCCATCAACTGTAAAAGAAGATATTAAGTTCAATCTGATTTAAAGTAGTAAAGCAGGATAATTTAGATTTTAGATTATACCTTGAATGAAAAATGGTTAGTTTAATGGTTACTTTACCCATGAGTAAGCTGATAAGGATACTGTTGTCATGGAATCACTACAGGGGTTAAAGTGGTGGATTTCTGCTTCACATAACCACCAGTAAACTACACGTCACCCCTTAAAGAGACCGAGGAAGTTTTATAAGACAGTATTGATGGATGTCTAAGAGCTGGGTTTAAACAAGGTAAACTAATAAGTAATGTTTGCCAATGGCCATGGTACATGATAGCAGTCTTTACACTTTATTTGCATGAATTTGTTTGATCTCTACCTTCTCTCTGTATTTGTTGATGCAGGAAGGCAGCAGCATTCATGGATATAGTGGACACCTTTAATCATCTAATACCCAGCGACCAGTTGGACGAGTCCTTGATTATAGGCCAGAATCTGGAATGTGAAGCTGGTAATGACTTTGGGACAGGATCGCATCTGGAAGATTCACTCAAGAACATGCTCAGCGACAAAGACCCCATGTTTGGCTGTGCAAGCTCTCAATTCAATCTGCTGGACAGCGAGGAACCCACTTTCCCTATTGCTGACACTACAAGTAAGTCAGCAAACAAAGTTGTAAAAATGTCTTGCTCATTTGAAGTGCTGGAATCGTAATGATGTTTTTAAATGAGAACTAGATTAATTTCTTTTGGCAGCTTCAGCTCTTGAAGATGGCTCTGCATCCTCGGGCATCGGCAGTGAGCTCTCAGTCACAGACAACACACAACTTAAGCGACCAGTTGGTAGGCAGAGGAAACCTCCACGTTCTTCAGATTTCGGTAAGTTGGTGCCCATTAAAGTTCCTGTTTCCGCCCTTTTACACATTCAGATTAAAGATGACTTGACACGTTTGTCCTTTTCTTGCCAAAACAGAGCCAGAACTTGCTAACACACCCATAAGGCGCGTAGCTCGAGGGAGACCAGGGAGGAAACCAGCCAACAGGCTACAAAAGACATTTCTGATCGAGAAAGGAGTCAAGGGCACCAAGCTGAAGGAAGAATTAACTCTGGGAGGGCGTATTAATGTCAACGATCTTGATAGTGGATTATGGCTTAATCCTGTGGTCGTACTGAGACGGTTGACGGTCACAATCGGAGGATTCAGGATTGAACTGCTACCCGGACCTTCTTACACACACAAAGTGGAAACGAGTGAATCTTCAGGCTTCGAGGATGGATTTTCATACAGTGGGGACATTGGGTTTACAGTGTTGCCAGATGAAGCTGTTAATGCACAGGTTCCATTAGGGGAGACTGAAGCAGAAATAGAGAAGCGCTCTGCTGATGATTCAGCCCTTGGACTGGGCCCGTATGTTAATCCTAACGATGTGCAGACCTCTAATGGGACAATAAAGGGGAGCACACAAGAGACAAAACTCGACAATCAGAGTGTTTCTGGACAGCAGAGGCCGGTTAGAAAAGGCAAACAGCCACAAAATCATGAGGATAGCGAGACTAATGCCAAGAGTAAGACTGACGGTAAGGTGAAACAAGAGATTGTAGCAAAAACTTTGCCTAACCCTAAACAAGGAGTTTCCCTTGACAAGAATAAGGACTTGGTTTCAGGTAAACCAAACAACACTGTAAAGGGACACAAAGTATCCCAAACCACGCCATCCACAATCATCCAAAGAGACGACCTGCACAAGATGAAATCCTTAAAGGATAAGAAAGATGTTGCACCTTTGAAAAGGCCTGCAGAAATCACCCAAAGTGAGCAAGCTAGTAAAATGCAAAAGGTACAGAGCACAGGAGACCCGAAAATGAAGCCAAAATCACCAGTTTCACCCACTGCTGTAGTTAAAAAGATCCCATCGTCCGGCAGCCAGGGACCAACTAAGCAAACTGTTCCACACAATAGCGCCAAGGTGGAGGCAGCTCACCCGGTACAAGGACGTCCAAGCCAATCTGTAAAAACCCCAGATGACGGGGGGCAGGAGAAGGCTAAGCTGAAAAAGCCAGAGAAGATCATACAGAGACAGAAAAGTAAAACTGCGAGAAGTATCTCTGTGGAGGAGCCGCAGCTGTTTATTCCAGATAATGCTCCTGTCACAAAGAAGGAAGCCGCTGAGGAGCAACCTGCCAACAGTGAGAGTGTTTGGGACGGGAACAACTGCTGTGGGCTGTGCAAAAAGCACCACAACAACATGTGAGTTTTTCTTCTTTGATTTGATTCAGAGGAAGAAATGTCTAATGTCTGATTTTAATCCAGGCAGATTATTTAGTTTCTCAACATGCATTTCTCTATTCTCAAATTTATGCTAAATTTAGGATTAATGTTTTATTTAAAATGAACCATAATATCTGCAAACTCCATTACTACTTTGTAGGAGTGTGATGAGACACTCAGCTCATGAGACAAGATGGGGTGAGCAAGAGCAGAGATAAGGTTCACTAGACAAGATGAGATTTGAACACCATCTTTTCACGCCTTTATAAGATGGAGCAGTTGAAGACAGACGGGGAACATGAAAAGCAGAGAGTGGGAGGAGGCAGGCAGTAAAGGTCTGGAATGGAACCAGCGTCCAGGGTTGTAGCCTCTGTACTTGCAGTTTGGAGTGTCTATTAACAGAAACATACAATCAGTGTGTTAATTTAGAGACATTTGTTGGAAAGGGCGCCCTCATCTGCAGAAACTTTCTTTTCGTCTTGTTTGGCAGTGCCTCCTCTGCTGCACTGGACTGATTTGGATTCTGTGCTGTCACCTCTTTGCCATAATTGCAGTCGCAAAGACAAATTAACTAAGTGCTGTCCTCAGAAAATGGTGTACTTGCCAGACAGGATGTCATGCTTTAGTACCTCTACATCAAATGAGAACTCTGAGCATCAAACACACCTTTCAATAATACACATGCTTTGTTTTAGGTTCATGGTCGGCTGTGGTCGTTGTGACGACTGGTTCCATGGCGACTGCGTTGGCCTCGACTTGACGAAGGTGCGGGAAATGGAGGAAGAGGACCAGATGTACGTGTGCCTGAAATGCTGTGAGGAGGAGAACAAAAAGGTCGAGCCCGAACCGCCAATTGCAGCCAAACCAGAAGCTCCAGCAAAGACTGAAGTCCAGGATCAAAAGCAGCATCCGAAGCCCAAACCAGGACCCTCCCAGGCGCTGACATCAGGAGGGGTCAGACCAGTAAGAAAGGTGATCAGTTCTGCGTTACAGGCATTAGATCTCATGCATTTCAGAAATGTAACCTTTCATATACAAAGGATCTATTTATTTGTTCCCACAGCTAATTCATCCTCTGATTTTAGGCATAGACAAGGGTTTGTTGTGTTTATTTGCATTTACTTTGCTCTCACAGAAGGCTTGCACATGGGTGTGTGGTGAACATGGTGTAGTCACCACAAGTTTGGTACAACTTCACACACACAAAAGAAGTCACCCTTTGTTTTATGAGACCAGGGTGAAGACAGGGTCAGGGTTGATAACACCTCTATTTTTTAATTCCTCACAAGTCAAGTTTTATGGTATATTTTCTAATGTTGAGCATAAATAATGACCCAGTGTTTGTTTTGTACTTTCTTCCAACCATAGGATCCTGATAGGAGGCAGTCCACAGAGGTCAGAGAATCCGCTCATAAAACAGGTATGTTTCTACACCCGTATAAGAGGCTGTGAATGTAAATACAAGTCATTTTTAGACTTCATTACAAGAACAAACAAGCAATTAACAACTGAAGGCAAACACACCACATACAGTCACTTTTTAAACACAGGGCGACAAAAGTTTTGTGTCAGCTACGTTATAAAAAACAAAAACTTGATACCTTAAAGCAGGATTTGTAGTAGTTGAGTTAATTTCAGGGTTAAATCCAGGTTTACACTCTTTGGAAAAAAAATAAACAAAAATTTCAATCTTACAAAATCAAATTAAATCAATTACACCCAATCACCAATCAGTCGTCTTGATCCCAGAAGCCTGTGAGCTGATCTTGAGAGGAAAAAAGGGGGAAAGACCGACAAATTCTTTGCATGTCCTGAATAGATTCCATAAAGGATATTTATTATGATTTAATGATGATACAGAGACTGACAAGTATTCTCAAGCATTCAAAAGATAATCAAATTTAACCTAAACTTTGTTAACCTTTTCCTATTAGCTTCATACTAACAATTTAATACTATCTTTACAAACAAGAATGTATCTGTGCAGCAAACTGGTATGAAGTAGTAAAATGGAGAGGCCAGATTTAGGCGTACTGTGCATCAATGCCAGGAAAGCGATATTATAAGCGTCACTTTGCACATTAACACCATTTCTTTTTCTGTCGGCTGTTATGTGGCTGCGGCTGGGTTGCTTCAGATTTTTCTAGTATTGAAGTTTGCTCATGGTCAGCAGTCTTGCTCGTTTTGCGATTATTTGTATGTGCTGCTACTTCCTCCGACGTGCTTACTGAAACTGAAATTTGATCTATGAGGTTGATAACCAGCTTTTTGTGTGAGTGTTAAGTGTGATCTCTTGCGTCAGAGTTCGTGAGGCTAGATGACCAAAAGATACCCTAAGTATGCTAACTCGCCTTATTCTCAGATCTTAGATAAGACTTGAGTGAAAACAAGAAAAAATCAAGATTTGAAAAGAGCTGTCAAAGGAAGTGCATTTGAAGTGAAACAGGTTGTTTCACAGGCTCCCAAAACTGAGAATTCAATGAGGTTACTGTTGATACTTCAACTTCTGTCTGCTCTGAGTTTCAGAACCAAAAGTGTGCAAAAGTCTAGAAGTTGTTTAGCATAATGAAAAAATGAAGAACAGCAAAACAGGAGTGCACCTGTCGGGCAAGAGTCTCTGTAAATAGTTGCAAATGTTGTTGTGCTGCTTGAGTTGTTGTTTTAAACTTCCATACTGGGTACACAGTTGTGGTAACAAAAGGTAAAATTCCCAATTTGACTCTGATCATCTTCCTGCCTTTAGAGTTTGTACATACTGATCAGGTCTCTCTTACTAAAGGTAAACTACGACTACATCTCAGTGTGTCAATATCTGTGTTCTCATTCAATACACAAGAGGAAAAAAGACTCACCTTCTTCTCCTTCTTCTTAAAATAACAGCTCTACTTGCACATATTTTATCATTTACATCATTTTGTTTCTGTGCCAGCTCGAACATTTTGTCGTTCTGTCCATGTAGGTGTTCATCTGAAACAAGAGACAAGAAGTAAGTCGTCGTCTTCAAAGAAACCCGTGTCTGTGGAGGCGATCAGGCGCAGTGTGCGCGACTCTCTGAAAGAAATCCTTATCCAGAGGTAAGAAGTTCACCAGCAAAAAGAAAAGGTTTAAATACTGAGTTTTAGATTATATTCAAAGTTTGTTTTCGCTCGAAAACTGTACAAACACTTACCTGAGTGTGCCATAAGTGTGTCGCTTCTTGCTTTTCAGGTTGAAAGAGTCTAATTTGAACGTCTCGGTGGAGAAGGCCTCTGAAGTTGCCAAGAAAATCGAGAGGGAGCTTTTCCACTTGAACAAAGACACAGACAACAAGTACAAGAACAAGTACAGGAGTCTGATGTTTAACCTGAAGGATACTAAAAATAATGTGAGTACAATCTTTGAGCAGACTGTCCAAAAAGTTTCTGTGTGAAGCATCTCAGTGAAGTTGTTACTGTGGCCACAGTTGTCTTGATTGATTTGTTTCTATTTCCTGATTGTAGGTCCTTTTTAAGAGGGTCCTCAAAGGGGAGATTTCTCCTGATAACCTGATACGAATGAGTCCTGAAGAACTGGCCTCCAAGGAACTGGCTGCGTGGCGACAAAGGGAGAACAGACATGTAAGTTGTTAACCAACAATACATTTTCAAAGAGTTCCCAGTGCGTACATGTGGTATAATATTTTATGTTTTTTTCCCTCACATTAAAGTTATTTGGTGAGATTTTGGAAAGCACCCTTTCTCTATCTCCCTTTAAGTCATAATTATATCATTTTTCAGACTATTGAGATGATTGAAAAAGAGCAAAGAGAAGTAGAGAGAAGGCCCATCACCAAGATCACACACAAGGGTGAAATTGAGATCGAGAGCCAGGAGCCAATGAAAGCACCTGAGCCCATAGAGGTAAGGAAAAAGTCAGATACTGTTCTGCATCCCTGTATGTTTGCCCGCATAATAGTGTTACGCATCATCAGCTTGTTTTTTTCTTACTTGTTAGGTTAAGACTTCTCCCAAAGCAGCAGAAGTGTCAGCAGAAAAACCTCCAAACACCCCGGAGCAGAAGGAAGAAAGCACCAAGACGGAGAAAGACACCACAAGCCAACACAAGTCTCATTTGTTTGACCTTCACTGCAAAATCTGCACCGGTAAACGCTTCAACGAGAAAAGCAGATCTTTCTCTCAGTCTGCCTGTGGCGCTGCTTTTTCCCCAACATAAAGCCACACTATCCTCAGTAACCGGCTTCTTTTTTCTCTCCATCAAACCTTTTCATGAAGGTCGTATGGCGCCCCCTGTGGAGGAGGCTCCAACCAAAGTGGTGAAAGTTGCTACGACGGTGGTGAGGAGGCAGTCCACCAAAGCAGAGGAGACGAAGGGCACGACGCCGTCCGCGGCGGATGATGACCTGCACCTCACGGTCTTGGAGGAGAGCTTTCGAAACGCTCAGTCAGGCTACGAAGGAAGGTGCGTGTCTCCCTGTTGACGTCTTTCTGCGTTTTAGAGCTAATCTGTAGATTTGAGAGATGTTTAGAAACAACAGTGAGAACACAAACAACCGAGCAACGAAAACAAACAGCTGTTTGACTCATCAGACTTGGAGATGCAGGAGTACAGCTGCAAGGCAGCTTCAGTTACAATTGATAGTTAGCATAATAACAGCTAAAGGTCAACATTACTCACAGCCTCCATTCACTTTCACATGAGCAGAGGAGCTTGTGTTCAGCACAGCAACATCACAGGACTCCACAATGTTTGTTGATTCAACTGGTTCAGTTCAGAGAATTTTGCTGAGCTTGCCAAATCAGGGAAATCAATACCTCCCTTCCCTTCACTGGAACCTCTACTCATGCTGAGCTAGCCTGCAGTCAGAGTAACTTGGTGTTGACTCACAAGTGTTTAAACTTATTTTTATTTGTTAGTGGTGTCCAACATTTAATAAATGTCCTCCTTCAATGAGACATTTAACCCGCATGCTGCTCCAAGTTGACCCTTGAGTCATTTTATCCTGAAACTGGTGTTTTGGTTTCAATGGTGACCGTGTTTATCAGTGACTTTCAGTTTTTCATTAAACCCAAATCTGAGGAGCACATTCTAACAAGAAACAGCTCAACCAAAATGCATTCGCCAGGACTCGTTCCATGTTGTAACCATGACAACTGCTGACACATTTGGCTGAAAGTCATCAGATTACAGGGTCACTCTTTGAACCCAAACACCAGCTTCCCTCTACGCAAAGGGAGGCCAGTAAGTGCAGCGCTTGTTTGTTTGTTTGTTTACCTGCGCGGTGGAAAAAAATGAGACTGTGACATAATGATGGAAAGACAGCTTTGCGACGGCGTGTGCTTTGGCCCGCTTCACAAGGCTGCAGCGTGAACACGAAACAACTCCAGGGAAAAACGCAGCCATGTATCATTTTTTCATCTGAATCCAAACAAAACAAAAACCATCGGTGTGAAAACAGCCAGGGACGTTTTTAAATTGTTCTCACTGAAATGTTTCAGTGTTTGGATAGAAGAATCATTTATATTTAAAATGTCCAAACTCCAGCAAACACTCTGATCGTGGTGTGGACACAGATCCAGCTGATTAGTTGTGTGGATAGTATTGTAGTCTTATATCAGTTATACAACTCACAGATTTGCTGCTAATTTAGATTAATTCCTTCATATTTTAAACTGAAGATTCTAATGATATTTATTTTGCTATCTATCCACACTGGACTGTATTATACAGAAGAGGAAATCTCTACAGTCTCAGAGGCTGCAGAAAAGCTCAAATTGAAACCGAAACCATCCTTTTCTGACCACCTGAGTCGTATTTTTGTGCAGCTTCTTACCTCCAATCTGGTTTCATTTCTGTCGTTTGCCACAGGCTGGATCTCACAGCTGGCAGAGAGGAAAAGACTGCTTTCCTCTCCAACCTGAAGTCCCTGTGGCGCGGATTCATTCACATGCACTCTGTGGCTAAGTTTGTCACGAAAGCTTTCCCGGTGTCGGGCATTCTGGACCACCTGACTGATGTAAAGTGGAGCCGAAAGCTCATATTTCAAGTTTGAAATGTTTCTGCTAAGTGTTAAAGACAATCAGAGCTGTCAGTGAGGCTTGATGTCTTCTTTTTTCTTCTATAGGACCTTCCAGACAGCATTGTAGTGGGGGGACGGATTAGTCCACAGACAGTCTGGGACTATTTGGAGAAGATTCGGGCGACTGGAACAAAAGTAAGCGTTTGGCAGCTTTTCCTCCTGACAGGATTAAGCAGCCTATAGCTAAATCCAGCTATTACATACATCACCTACAATTCATTATGGCGAGGAGCAGCTCAATCTTCAGTCCAGACAATTAACATCCACACTTGTCATGTCATGTAAAGCTGCTTCAGCTCTTGTCAGATTTCTTGTACTTCTCTGACGCGGCATTTTCTTTAATTAAAGGAGGTGTGCCTGATTCGCTTCTCCCCCGAGACTGAAGAAGATGAGATCTCCTACACTTTGCTTTATGCCTACTTCAGCAGTCGTAGGCGCTTTGGGGTGGTGTCCAATAATCTGAAACAAGTGAAGGACATGTATCTCGTTCCTTTGGGCGCCACTGAAAAAGTTCCACATCAGCTTGTTCCCTTTGACGGACCAGGTAACCAGAGCGCCTCATCTTTTTAGTATTACACAAACATTTCTCATCCGTCAGACTTAATTTCTTTTTTTTGGATCAACAGGTTTAGAAAACAACCGTGCCAACCTTCTCCTTGGACTGATAATCCGCCAGAGACCGAAGAGGGATTTCCTCACCGTGGACATGAATGAAAGCATGAGGATTGTTCCTGAAATCAAACCTGTTACCCTTTCCTCGAGAGAGACTCGAGAATCAGAGAAGGAAGAGAATTTTTTCCTCTCCACTCTGACTGCCGCGCACAATAAAGAGAAGGACAAACCACTTAACACTACTGAAGAAGTTAATGAGCCGATCACAGAGTCTGTGGAGGAACCGTCTGCATCAGAGGAGACCAACAACCAGGAATCTCAAAAGCCGCTCCGCTTCCTTCCGGGCGTGTTGGTAGGCTGGGGTGGGGAATTACCACCTCTGCCAGATGTTGGAATTAAACCCACAAAGGCAGCAGATGACACCCCAAAGACCCCGTCAGCTCTGAAAACAGAGACACCCACTGGAATCTCCAAAAGTCCGACAGCTGCTGCGCCGCGAGAGCGCTTTGTCATCAAAAAGAAAGAAGCTAAACCCGCTAAAGCTGAACCCGAGCTTCCCGGCCTGACTGACTCATCTGTTGCGAACAACTCCTCAGTGAAGGATGCTGCAGCGGTGACCCCCAGCACACCAGTCTCTCTGAAAGATAAGCCTCCAGATGTGTCGACTGAAACCTTCCTGGCGAGCTTGTCGACGGCTCCGAGTGGGACTGAAACGAGCGTCTCTGCCTCGGCAAACAAAGGAGACGCTGGCCTTTTGTCTGAAAACGAAAAAGGAACATCTGAAGGGAGTTCTTCATCGCAGCCAATCTCCCAGACTGCTCCAGCTCACACAAATAGCTCAAAACCTCCTTTGAGTGGAATACTGAAAAAATCTTCAGTGTTTTCCAGCGTGAGTGAAGATAAAACAACGGTGCTACAAAAGGATAAAGCCAGCCACCAAGCTCCTTTGAGTCCTAAACCCATTCCTACATTAAGTAGCACTAGAAATCTTCCTGTTACTCTATTTCATCAAGGATACTTGCAGGTTTCTCAGGCCAAGAACAAACCTGAGGAAGGAAAACAAGCATCTACGCAACCGTTCCCAAGTGTGAAGGAAGATCCCGGCGTGTCCCAGACTGAAGCGTCTGTAGCTCCTCCCACAGTCCAAGGAACTCAAGAAACAGGCGACATCGAAGCCTCCGAGCCCAAACAAGATGCAGCAGCGGCATCGGCTCTCCCGGTTTACAACGCCGCTGCACCCACACCGCCACAGCCTCAGGTACCCGGCAGCTACGATGACACAACCGGCCCTCCTCCTGACACCTCCTCCGCCCAGGATCAGAACCACAGCACACCAGGAGCTCAGGATCGCACTTCATACGCCATCCCCGGCCTGGAGAGCTACTCCGAATCATCCGGCCCATCTCCGTCTCAGGCCAAAGATCAGAAGCGGGTAGAGGAGCGATACAGCGACCCGTGGGAGAGGCCGCGAAACACAGAAGAGAGAGACCACCACGGGAGGCACAGCCATCACAGGGACTCCCACCACGGGAAGAAGAGCCGGCACCACGACCGCGAGAGGGAGAAGAAACACGACCGCAGCCATGAGGACAAGTACAGAGAGAGGAGCAGGCACCACGGACACTCAGAGGACCGCTACGGCGAGAAGAGGAAAGAGAGGCAGCACAGCGACGACTACAGCAACCGCCACAAGGACAGACACAGGCACAGACGGGACTCTGATTACGAGAACGGGCGGCGGAGTTCGAAAGACAGTTACTCATAATTTCGTTCTTTTAAGTATCAAAAGCCCTGCTGGGGCTCTAAAAAAAAGACTGTCCGCCTGTAGGTCACTCAGCAGGTTCAGACTATCTCAGCTCGTATCGGCTGATAGTTGAGTTGTTTTGTTTTTATACACAAGTCTGCCGAGGAAATGCCGTTTCCAGACCAGAAGTTCCATTTTAGGTTATTTACAGTACAGCCAAAATGTATTATCATTTCAAAAGGATTGAGAAGATCCGCAGAGATTCGTTCTTTTCAGACCAACAAGAACTCAACATTGGAACGTTTTCAAGGTTTTTAGCCTTTTATTATGTAACACTCATTCATATTGGGCTGCTGTACTGACTGCAAACAATCAGTAAATGTTTCCAGTCTGGTGTGGACCATTTGGTGAAAAGTTGAAGTTGCACTCAAAACATTTGGCATGAATGTAACACAGACGACATTTAACTGAGGACAGCGATTAAAACAGCAGCTGTGTTTTTTTTTGTGTTTGTTTTTTCAACTTAATTTCTTTTCAGATTGCTTAAATATTTTATAAACTTACTTTCTTTTGGAAAAGTATGTACATTTTGGCTTGTAATATACAGTAGAGATTATGTGTGCCTTTGCACTGTGTGTTTATGTACAGTTCGTAATAAAGCTAATCCTTTTTTATTGATTATAAAAACTCATATTGCTTTCATAATGTATTAAATCACCTTGATACTGATTTACATTGTGCTATTTTAATCAAGTTCGACAGTCAAGTTGTCTGATGAGCATTTAAACACAGACCACATGTTATTTGAACAATGATAAGTAAGCAGATTATTTTTTACAAACATAACGAACACCAGAAGAAGAAGAAAATAGCTGCAGAGTCAAACATGAAGAAAATACAGTCTTGTCTTTGAATCACTGTTACAAACTTTACTCAGAATACATATTTGTACGCAATAAAACAACTTACAGTACATCACGTTGAAGCATTTCACTGCGCTGTGTAGCTGTTATTCACTGATAACGGGGCCAAATGTCTAGAGAGAAAACTAAAATAAATGTGGGTATTATGAGAGGGCTCATACATGTGAGTTTTAAATAGTTTCAAACTTATCTTAAGTTGCTAAAGTTGTAAACACAACCTTGTTTCTAAAAAAGTTGTGAATCTCCTTAAAATGCTGTTAAAAGCAGATTTTGAGTGTTTGCAAATCATTTTAAGTCTGTACTTCATCAGAAATGGTGCAAAAACAGTTGAAACTGTAAATGATGTATTTCAAAATGTTGGGACAGGACAACAAAATACTGAAACAAGTTGTGAAACGCCAAAAAAGTATAATACTCAGCTTCAAAAGTTGATTTGCAAAAGGTTTGTTACATGACCAGGAATAAAAAAGATACTCTAAGAAGACTAAGTGCAAAAATGAAGAGAGGTTCACACCACTGTGAGAGACTGCATGAACATGGTATGATGTCCCTGAGGGTTAAATTGAAAATACTTTGTGGATTAAATCATTTACAGCAAACACTATAACTGAATTATTCTAAGATTCTGGACACACCTGTTGGAAAATGACCAAAAACCAAATTGACTGTAGTGGAAATCACTACATGAGCTCAAAGTCACTTTCAAAATCCCATTTTTATGAACAGCTCAACACTTCATCCACAAAGGCAGGTTAAAACTCCACCATGTAAAGAAGAAAACAAACATGATCCAGAAAAACTTGAAAAAATCAAAATTTCTCTTTCATTCTGGAAATCATGGAGACCTTCTTCTGCTATAAAGAGGAGCAGGACCACCCGACATGTTCTCAGCAAAAAGTCAGCATCCATGACGGTGAGTGCCCGTGATCTGGGGAGTTTACACATCTGGAAAAGCACCATTACTGCCATGGTAAGACAACTTTAGCTGCAATCTAGACAATTAGAGAAGATCCTGCAGATTCCATCAAGACAATCCCAAACCTCATTCTGTAGATATAACAACAACATAACTCTGTAGTAGAAGAGTCTGGGCACAAACTGGAGTGCAGAAACAGGTCTCCTTGATTTCTAAATGTTAACACAGTGTTAAATAAGAGATTGTGCAATTCAAGAAAAAAACATACTACTGTCCCAACTTTTTGGAGAGGTGTTGCTGACATCAAATTGAAAAACAAAATCATGAAATCTTTCACTTCTTACTTCTGCTAGTCTGTATTTGCACCATTTTCAATTTCAGTTTGATTTGGTAACACTCAAATTCTGTTGTATAAGCATCTTGTACATCATTCAGACTTTGTACAAATTAAAGACGATATTTTACCTACTTTGAAAATGAAAGTGAGGAATATGTGATCAGGCATAACAAAGGATGTTGCAGAAAGTAATGAAAGCAGTAAGCACCTTGAGTTCTGTAGTTCAGCGTGAGCATTTTCATTGCTTTGTATTTTTTTTTCATACTGACTACTGAGTGGAAAGCAATGAAAACTCCATTTTCATGCAGTACATTTGGCCCCTGGAGTTACTCTCTCTCACTTCTAATCACCCCCCTCATCAACATTAAAACCTTCACTGTTTTTCAGAAACTGCAGCGGCTTTGTATCTTGGAATAAATGAACATTTCTGAGATTTCCTTCAAAGCCCTTTAAAAACAACCCTGCAGTGATGTTTGAGACGTTCCTGTATAGTTCAAACCCTCCAAAGTAAAGCTGACCACCGTAATTTAAGGCAATGTAACGCTCAAATGGGTCCATATCTTGGATGATGGCTCTCTTACTGTTTAGGAATACCTGGATCACTGTGCCGTTCAAAGATATGGAGACATTATGCCACTTGTTGCAGCAGAGAGAGAGATTTCTGTAAGTTACTGGGCGGGAAAGTCTCTCTCCAAGGTTCACGGCCACTTTGAGGAGTCCTCCTTCAAGGCCGACTGCGAGGTAGTCGTCATCTTCTTGTTCAGCCTTCCCCATCCACAGTATCAAACTGTCATTAGAGCGTGAGCGAAAGCTGAAGGAAACTTGTGCGTATTTCAGATTTCTCGTGTTGTATCTTGAGTCTAGATATTTAACGAAAGAGTTCCCGATAAACTTGAGAGTTTCCGATGTTACTTCTGTGTCACAGTACCTCCCACCCCATCCTAGTGGGCACATACAGCTATACGAGACGTCACTAGATGGAGCACAAATGGAGCCGTGTTTGCAGTTGTTATCTACACAGACTATCGACTGGTTGCACGCGGAGCCGGTCCATGGCAGCGGACACACGCATGTAAATGAGCTGCTTCCTAAAGGCAGGCAGCGACCTCCATTTTGGCACACCTTGTACCCACATCCAGTCCCATCCCAGTCCCCAATATTCGTCCCACTAACCGCCCCCGTCTCTGTCAACTCCAACTCCTGACCGTTAATTATAAGCTCCCTCATCCCCCCAGTGAAACCAGTCGGTTCCCGCTCGGTTGCCTCTGTGGACACCAAGCTCAGCGTGGACACCCCACCGATAAAAATGTCAGTAGTCACATCCAGAGTGGTCATCCCCTCCGTCCCGTTCTCTCTAACCTCTTTATTATCCAGACTGAGGAAGCCTTGGAGACCCAATCGTCCGGCCCTCACAGTGTGCCAGATCCTGCCCTGTGAGTTCACTCTGTCAACAGACTGCAGGACGTGGGTGCCATCTCCGAGGTTGAATCGCAGCTGGACGAACCCAGAGGTCAGAGAGAGGCAGAAGAAGTCTCCTAAAGTGGGACATGAGACAGCAGAAGCAGTAAGAGTGTATTCCTTCCACACTCATGACCGCACAGCGACTCAAATGTCATGGTTAACTTTGTGGACAACACAGCAGGGGTGGGATTGATCTCCTGCAGCGAGGTGACCACCCTGGAAGAGAGAAGCTCAGACAATCACCTCTGTGTAAGTGTCTCAGAGAGAGAAGAGGTCATTGTGGGCGACAGGAGGAGGAAGAGAGGGGCCGATCTACCATCACCATCAACAGTGGAGACAGTGAACAGCTGATAGACCCGAGAGTGGACCTCCACATGTAGTCAGGTGCAAATATGAGTCGACTCCCCAAAAAAATTCTAACAAAAGGTTTCTCCGCTGTTTTTTTATAGTATTAGACGTTCTTAATAACATGCTAAAAGTTTACCAAAATTTGACTGCTATAAAGGTGTCATTTTCACGATGGCGTAGGAAGCCCAGGGGAATAGGGAACATTTTTAACAAACAGATATCACCATGAAACTTCCCAAGTTTATAACTTACATTAAGACAAATATTTTTTGTATTACAATTTTTGTCAGCTGTTATGTTTGATTATGTAAATGAGGTAATATCTAATTAAATGTGCACTAATTTGCATACATTTCCAGAACCAAAAACTAAACAATGGATAAAGCTCCTTTCAAAATTCTTGTTTTATTTTGTTGACATACTAGAGTCAGAAGGGAGTGAGGAAAGACTCTCACCACCCCTGAAAATTCAAATATCTCCATGTGTTTTTTTTTTCAGGTCCTTAAAATGATCATTACTCCTTTGTATTCATCTTAGACCAGGAATACAGATGCCTGATACATGTTTTGACCATGTAATATTCTAATTAGCACATTTGTATGATAGATAAGTGATTACAAGTACATCTAGTGCCCCACCATTTGAGTTTTTAGGGGTGGTGACAGTATTTTCTCATTTTCAGAGTGATAAAACGAGATATCCAGAGTCCCCTCCTCCCCTCTTCTGACTCTAGTATCGTAATCATCCACATGATGGCATCCTGCAGAGTAAATATAGGATTATGTTGTTGTTAACAGCCTTCAATAGGGATCTGAATGTCCTTACCAGCTCTGGCACTGAGATGCTGAGCAGTGTAGACGAGGATGCCATCTGGTGACAAAGGCTGGAACTGCAGCTGAACAACAGTTCTGTGTCTGACACTCATAGGAGGAAATGACATCCACGAGGACTGGTTACCACTGAAGAATGGATCACTGATGCTCACAGCTGAGCAGGAGAAATAACAGGTTCAATAATCGAATAGTAAAAGTCTTGTCCGATGAAATGAATAAAGGAGGAAACATGTCTAGTGTTCAACAATTCAATGAACAACCTTTCTCGCAGTACAGTCCCGCAGTCCCCAGGGGGCACTGGCAGGTGTAACCATTGGGCAGGGGGATGCAGGTGGAGCCGAGGGCACAGAGAGGCGGGGGTCTGTGCTCCACATCACACACAGACACGGTCTCAGAGCAGAGCGCTCCCTTCCATCCTAATGGGCACTGGCAACTGCAGACGGACACAGTCAGACACTGTGAAAAGCTTGTAAACACTGTCATTTCCTCACACCGAGGCGCTGATTTTCTGTGGATTATCAATGTCAGGTCACCAAATACATGCAGCTGTACGCTTTAGCTTCACACAGGAGCTTGAAAAACAACTGCTATAGTTAAATAAGAACATAATCTGCAATTAAAGCTCCCTTAACAAGATTTACTGTTTCTATATCATTTGTGAGAACTGAAGCCACTGAGAGGGGATTGGTGTCAAACCACAGGAGTGTCAGCACGCCAAAGAACCAACCTATGTTTTCAAGCCCAGTTTGTACCTCGAAGACTCTTAGACACTGAAGCAGTGTACATTTCAGTGAGCACTCGTTCATTAGAGTGTCGTCTGCAATTCACAGCCTGTAACTGCTTCTTATTGGTGTGATTTGATTGGTTATGCTACATTCTCTGCTTGTTTAACTGCAAGAAACCATGGCGACCAAGCCAATTACATTGGAGTCTGAGGCCAAAAATGTAAAATAATAATGCTAATAATAATGCTAATAATAATAACAATAATAACAACAGTTTATGTATCTGACACTATCAGAAAAAAAGTTCACGCAGCATAAATGGATTTTAACACTAGCAGAGGAACACATCAGAAATCATATTAAATAAAACGGCATAGGGGGTGCCAAAATCAACACGTCAAAATTCTTCATTGAAGTTATTAGGAAAATTTTTTTTCTGTTGCACGAGTTTTCAAATCTGAGCTTTGAAATACTAATTGCAGGGTAGCATATTTGGCAAATTAAACCTCTTGTTCACCAGTCAAACGTTTAGGTTGATGAAATGTTTATTCTACAAGGTCTATTCAACATAAATGACATAAAAAGATATCAACTTTACTTTCATGAAATTCTCGGCAGGCGTGTGTTTCTGGGCACAACACCGCCCACTGAGCTGTCACTCAAAACTCACTAGCCAATGGCGCCTCACCCCTGAAAAGTACCGCCCACATGCGAGGTTTGTGTCAGAATCACAAACAAAAACTCAGGGGGCACAAACGCGAGAGCTCGCAGTGAGACTGTAAAACGGGAATGAGAGCAAAAACCTGGTCTGCGAGGAAGAAACAGAGGATACTGTAAACAAAAGGATACATGACAAAAAGTAAAAGACCAGTAGTTTAAACAATTGCACAAATTTTTTTGCTTCAGTGAGTTTTATTCTCTCTCGAATTCTTATTTTTGTTTAATGTTGAAGAAGTTTTGTTTGATTATTTTTGACACAAATCTGATATCTGGATAAAGTCCCTGCAGTTCAATGCAGACTCTTGTCTTTTCCCTGCCCCCTTAATTCTCCTCAGTGCAAGTTTCAGGGTGTTCTTAACTCCATGTCTTAACCATGAGGGGAATCATTAGAACTAATGAGAAAATTAATCATTCTCTCTTACTACACAGACGAGCCGGAGTCCACACATGTCCCTCCATTCCTGCAGTGAACATGATCACACGGCGTGACTCCACACTGACCCACGCTGCGCCCGAAGGCTGCATGTCCTGCAGGCTGTCCCAGTACCTGGAACTTCCTGTCCCTTCTCGTGGAAAACTGCACATCAAAGATGCATCCTGTATGAAAGCAAACAGAGTGACAGTCAAACTGCATGTGAGAGAGAAGTCATTTCTAACAGAGGATTATCAGATTTTTTATTTACTGTGTTTGAAAATTGAACATGCACACGTTTATGATGATTGAAGTTTGATTATTCCACTTAAATAACTTCTGATAAGGAGGAAAATACTTCAGATGCAGTCTGTGCAGTACTTCAGATGAATGTCTTTTAAAGTTGTGTTAGGACCTGACAGGATTTTTCATGAAGTCCTCATAGTGAAATCCTCTTTATTTGATGTTAACTCTTCAGTTTGATGGAATAAACTCTGCAGTCTCTCCACATCCAAGCTGTCCAAGCTTTTTAAATCTCCATTTTTTCCAGCTGCCATCACGCATCTCCCTCATCATATTTGCTTTTTATTTTCATAATTCAATTTGATCAAGACAATATTTGCTTTGGCCTGTACCTGCAGAGCCAGGGGCCTTCTATAAATATAAGGCCTGAGCACAAACCTGGTAGTCATCTGCACATGCACACCCCTCCCTCCCTTCTCTCTGCTGCATTAGTCATTGGCATAAACAGGATGCAGGGGAAATGTCATGCTCATTCATGAATATTCATGGCATGATGCTGTCTGCTCGGCAGACTCGAGTGATGGCTGCAGTGCTGCAAACGTGGACCGCTGAAAACACAAGTCGATTAATGAGGAAGATTATAAAAGCTGGATTTTCTTTGTTTTGGCTGCAAACGCCGCCTCTTGCAATGGAACCAAAGAGCCAAGTCATGCATTTATACCTGCCAGGAAACAGCTGGAAATGACACAAAAAAGAAAACATTTTCTTACAAGATTAGAAATCAGAGTTTAAAAAGTGGTCTCTGCAGGGACTGTGAAACCTTAGACTTATTACTCTTTAAACCTTGAATTATTTATATCTGAATTTTTAAATGATCTCTTTTAAGCCCCTGTTTGTTATCATCCTTTATTCTCTCTCTGTTGTGTTTTTTACATCTTTTATCCTCTTGCATTAACTCTATACCGACACAAATTAATGTTATGTTGCTGTGTTATACCTTGTTGTCTCAGTGTTTTTTGTTGAGTTGCCTTCTCATTGTCTGTCACTGCTTATTTTTGTCCAAATCTAATGATTTTGCAATGTTCACTACACACTTTTCAGCTGATTACAAGGCTCCTCTCCTCAAATGTCAGTTCATTTACATCAGTTTTAGATTCAGAATGACTTCAATGATTGAATTTTTTTCCTCTGTTGAAAGTTTAAGTGCCTCAAAAGTTCAAAAAAGTGAAAAATCGGATCTTGCAAAATATAAAATAATACCACTTTTTGGGACGTGGCTCTGTAGAAAGCACTCTGTTACAGTTTGAGCTGCAACTGTAGTGATGGTTAACTCTGCAGCCCTCTAAAATACTGTAAGCTGACATGGCTGTTTATTCTCACATTAAACTGAGCGTTTCTTTAAAAATTGCTGACTCAGCTGCGTTCCTCATATTAATCTGAATATTTCC